GCCCCCTCAGGATCACACTAGGGAGTGAGGAGGAAAAATGGCAAGTTATCCGGCAGGCAAAAAACTTAGCAAGGAGCGAGGCATTTCGAGATGTATTTATTCACCCAGACCGCACGGTAATGCAGAGGGAACAGCACAAGAAGCTCCTGCTGGACTTGAAGCAGAAGAGGGAGGAGTCGAGAAGGAACGGGGACAGGTGCACATGGGTTATACTCAGGGGGAGGGTAGTGGAAACAAGTGTGCCGACACAGGGCCAGGGGGCAGCAGTGCACCCTCCACCCACTCAACCCCCCACCCGGGAGGCGGCACCAGCTCAGCCTACCGGACAGGAGGGAACGAGCGCCGTGTAAACAATGAAATTTTTAACCACACCCTGCAAAATACAGTGTACTTAGCAAATGCTGCAGCTTCTGAGAATGTGGGTGGAGCGGGTTTATTACTAAGAGCAGAGACGTTACCGAGAACAAATTCTGGCTTGAATGTCATGTACACTAATACTGACACGTTCCTTGATAAGAGGGAGGAGTTTGAAACACTACTAAGAGTACACCAACCAGATATTGTAGGAGTTGTAGAACTGTTGTACAAGAACAGGAGAATCGACCCAGAGGAATGTGAGTTCAGTATTGCTGGATATGACTCATTTACGAACCTAACTCAAGAATCCTGCAGGAGGGGTGTGGTTATCTACGCTAGGCAAGACCTTAGAGCCAGCCAGGCGAGGGTACAGGGAGAGGATGTCTTTGTGGTGTAAAATTAAATTAAAGGGAGGGGACTTACTTATCGTCGGGTGTATCTACAGATCCCCGAACTGTGGCCCACTAAATCAAAGGAACTTAAGAACCTTAATAAACAATGCGGCGATGCTCAACCCCAGCCACCTCCTTATCATGGGGGACTTTAACTATGGCGACATCGACTGGAGAAACGAGTCAACCCCGAATGACTTGAATAATCCTGCTACTCTTTTTGTAGAAACTCTGAGAGATAATTTTCTGTTCCAACATGTGAGAGACCCGACACATTACAGAGGGGAGCAAACACCCAAGCCACTTGACCTCATCATAACAAACGAGGAGGGTATGGTGGCCAAACTGGAACACCTTGCCCCAGTTGGCACCAGTCACCATACAGTGTTGTCATTCAGATTTAACTGTTACCTAGTTCAAGATAAGGCCAGGCCAAGGTGCAAATATTACAAGGGAAATTACAATGGGATGAGGGAAGAGATGAGGGGTATCAACTGGCCTGACTTATTAAGGTACAAGAACGCAGACACTACGCTGAATATCATAACTAGTAAAATGACCCATTTGATCGATAAATATATACCCAAGACCAAACCCAGTGCTTCTAGGAATACGAGGGGATCCCTACACATGAACCATGCGGCGGTCGACAAAATTAAGAAGAAAACCCAGAAATTCAAGACGTGGGTTGGGTCAAACGATGAGCAAGACAGGAGGATGTATGCAAGAGCCAGAAACCAAGCAAAGATAGAGTGTAGGAGGGCTGAAAAGGAGTTCCAAAGGCTGGTTGCACGCGAGGTCAAGTCAAACCCAAAGGCGTTTTACCGCTATGCAAAGTCGAAATTGAAAACGCGAGTAGGAGTATCAGACCTGAGGCTTGAAGATGGTAGTTACGCAGATTCTGACCAGGATAAAGCTGAGGCATTGAACAGCTTCTTTTCCTCAGTGTTCACAAGAGAGGATGCAACTAACCTTCCTGCGTTTGAGGACAGACGGTTCGACACAGCACTGACCCACATTGTGTTCACAGAAGAGGGTATTAGAAATAAACTGTCCAGGCTAAAGGTCCATAAGAGTCCTGGACCTGACATGGTGCATCCTAGAGTGCTAAGGGAGCTGTGCAACGAGCTTGCAGAGCCCCTGAAGATTCTGTTTTGTAAATGCCTGGATGAACAAATGGTCCCCAGTGAATGGAAAGTGGCTTATGTGAGTCCTATCTTCAAGAAGGGCGATAGGCACTCCACGAACAACTATAGACCGGTGAGCCTGACCAGCATAATATGTAAAGTACTTGAGAGTATTATCAGAGATGCAGCGATGGAACATCTACTACGAAACAACCTTGTAAAAGATTGCCAACACGGTTTTATGCCGGGGCGCTCTTGCTTGACACAATTGCTCAAGGTATTGGATATTTGGACCCATATTCTAGAACGGGGTGGTAATATCGACAATATTTACCTAGATTTTGCCAAGGCTTTCGACAGTGTACCCCACGAAAGGCTGAAAATCAAACTGGAAGGGTACGGAATTCGGGGAAATGTCCTAGCGTGGATAGAAGACTTTCTACATGACCGCAAGCAATGTGTGGTGATTAATGGCACGAAATCGTCATCTGTACCTGTAACAAGTGGGGTACCGCAGGGTAGTGTATTGGGCCCGCTGTTGTTTGTTTGTTTCATAAATGATATGCCTGACGTTGTACACTCCTCCATACAAATGTTTGCCGATGACGCCAAGTTATTTCGGGAAATTAAGAACCAAGCGGACTGTGAAGAGCTGCAGAAGGACCTCTGTGGGCTCCAGGAATGGTCGAAGGAATGGCTGCTGAGATTCAATGTCACGAAGTGTAAGAGGATGCACCTGGGGCGTACCAACGGTAAGGAGGCGTACCATATGTCCCAACGGGATGAAGAAAATGTACTAGTTGAGACTGTGTGTGAGAAGGACCTAGGTGTGTATGTTGACAATGAGCTGAAGTTCTCGGGCCATTGTGAGAAGAAGGTAAATCAGGCAAATAAATTATTGGGTCTTATAAGAAGGTCGTTCAGATATCTAGACGGTCCGTCCCTCGTGACGATCTTCAGGAGTGAAGTGCTTCCCCATCTGGAGTACTGTCACCCCATCTGGTCCCCGAGATATGCTAGGGACTGTCAGTTGGTTGAAAATGTTCAAAGGAGGGCCACCAAGCTGGTGCCTGCACTTCGGCATCTCAGCTACCCTGCGAGATTGGAGCGCCTGAACTTGCCTAGCTTATACTACAGACGGGCAAGGGGGGACCTAGTTGAGGTTTATAAGCATCTCAGGGGGCACTACTCAGTTGAGTGTCCTTACTTGGAGCTGGCGGACGCTCGCCCCACAAGGGGTCACAGCTCAAGATTGAAGAAGCCGCAAGTCCGGAAAACCGTGAGGGCAAACTTTTTCGGAGTGAGGGTTGTAAACTCTTGGAACAATCTACCAGAAAGTGTTGTGACGGCACCGAGTGTGAGCTCTTTCAAGAGAAGACTTGACCAACACTGGAGCGGGTTCAGGTACATTCAGGAGCCGGTGCATGCCCAGTATTTGCCAACAGTGCGTGACAGAGACGTGACCGATCGCCCGGGCGGCTAGCGAGCCGACCTTTTGGTGAAGAATATAAAGGAAAAGAGTCGTGACCGATCGCCCAAGCGGCTAACAAGCCGATCAGTGGCGAAGAGGATAAAACTGAATAACAGTTAGACAAGGGAGAGAGCACTTTTCACATGCCATCACGAGCCTTCAAAATGGCTGCTTCAAAACGATTGGCCAGCCATGTCACATGACACAATACCTGTAGATCATTGATTGTCAGGCCGCAAAGAGGAGGAGGAGAAGACGATAAAAGTGACTCTGGCAACATGGCGGGTACAGAAATTTACGCCTGGAAATTTGTGAGATACTCTGTTAATATTTATTTGCTCAAGAAATGATATGAAGTCGTTTGTTTGTTTTATATAGTCTTTGTGCCTGTGATATTGAACATTGAAAACCTGCGGACAGCCAGTGGATGAATATTAACCGAAATACCATGAGTGCGCTCTGCTTGACTAAGTACTTTCTGTTTAATATGACGGGGGTCGGCTCCCCGGCTAGGAAGTTAGGTAAGGTTGGGTAGGTTTCTTTGGTTGGTTAGGTCAGGTTTTTTAGGTTTCAGTAAATGTCATTTCATTTATAATGATAAGAACATCTGTGGAAAAAATTACCAAAATCGAACAACTCCTCCTGGTTAGGAATGTTTATAGCTACATAACGATTGATTCATGGTGAAATAAATGCCAAATACCACCAGAGTTATGGTCACATCGTTCTCGCGTTGTTTGCCAGTAATGGACGATTAACCAATCAGAACTTAGTCAGTCACGACAAAATATCCACTGCCTATTATAAATGGTGTTTTCTTATATATTTTGTGGTGAGCTGAATGAATATAACTTTTTCTGAAACTATTGCGTATTTATGGAGATATGATAACTTTAAAACCGACAATGAATCCTTCCCAAGTGGCAGGGCTTTGAAGATTAATAATTTTTGAAGAATGAAATGGGAAATATCTGCTGTGAGTTAAGTTAGGTTTGGATAGTTAGTTTTCTTAATTTTATTAACAATATACGAATCGACCAAACCGACCAAACCGACCAGGTATCTAAGCTAACCTAACTAACCTAACCTAAAATATTAGTTATCATTTATAAATCATGCAAGATGTAGGTACGGCAGCCGTATGCGAAACGTCGATGTCTATTGGTACAGCAACCTAATGCGCATGTGTGGTGGGCAGACTATACAATAATAAATACTAAGATGGCCTTCTTTCTGATTAACCTATCCTAACCTTTCTGCCCAGGCGGAAGAGAAACACCACGTACAGGGTACTACATTTTCCACATGCACGATTTTCTGCCATACCATTAAGTACACAGTCCATCAGTACGGCTGTTGTACCTGCATCCAGTGTGTTTATAAAAACCTGTAAATAAAAGTAATGGCGCAACATTCTAGACACGCAGGATGTAAACAGATGAGCTCGTTGGTGATTTTACACCTGTTAAATACAAGATTACTGTAAGTGCCGCATATACCGTACTTTATATTCAAACCAGCACAGTGGGTACTGTATGTTAATACTGGTGACTACTGGCTGACTTTTACTAATCCATATTATCATAAAAAATTATTAGCTTTTCTTTATGTTATCATATCTTATTTGTTCACTTGATTTTTCCTCAATTATAGGAGTGAATATGAAGAGAAACAGGTCTTCAAGGGCCATACCTCCTACGTGACCAGTGTGTGTGTGTTGACGGGCGACAAGGATCACCTGGAAGGCTTGGTGGCCACCGGATCGAGAGACTCCACTATCTTGATCTATTCGATGAATGGAGGAGAGCCGTTACACACACTAACTGGCCACTCTGACACCGGTTTGTTTTATGCTCATATGTAAACTTCCATTTGGATCTTGTGAAGATTAGAAACTCCAGTTTATTTCACTTAGCGATTAAAACACCCTAACTCTAAATGGGGATGTTGAGTTAGGTTGTTCCTACTACACTTCAGCTACCAAGGTCTTTAAGCACATAACAAGGACTTGTCATTACAATAGGTCATCATCAATTAAAAATTGAAAGGGAGGATTTTCTGTTGGTCTCCAGATGATGATCTTTATATGTTGGATATGGTGAGGTAATCTGTACCTACTCAATTATGTGACGTAAACAACACCAGTCAAAACATTCTCTTATCTCATTTATTGTGACATTGTCATTCACTTTGCTTATGTCCAATTAATTTTTTTTTATTATTAAACTTTGAGAAAAATCACATCGCCTTTTCTTGCTATAATGTACTGTACATCATTAAGAATAAATAAAAGAATATTGTTCAGTATACTTCAAGATACTAATTGAATCTTTCACAAATTCCGTAGAATAGTCATTGCTTCAGTGATTTACTGTTAGAAATGCTCTAAATGAGGGAAATACTGTAATATTTTACTAATTATTTATTTACTGTAATATTTTTTTATCAATGAGGTGGATTGGGGAGGTTCTGTACATAAAATATTGGATTTATATTGAAGTTAGGCTTTCATAATACCTGTACTGTATGTACACCATCAGTAAGTCTAAATTGTAGGTGGATGGAAGGGTGTGAGAGCAGGAAGTTCCATAGATGAGAATTAAAGTTGAATGATAAGGTTTCACGAAATTGAATTTATTTGGAGTAGGGATAGCAGTAGGGGAGGGGGGGAGGGATCGTGGTTTAGATTTCGTTGATGTTTTAGCCATGGTAAATACTGTATAGTGAGAGGAAGGTAAATTGGAGTTAGATGGTCTGGCATGAATGGAAAATGGAGCCTGGTCCTTTCACGAGTCAAATAACTGTAGTCAATTTTGCGTAATCATAAGTAAGATTGCGATGCACCAACCCACATTTTACTGTATAGCAGTTTTCCTTGGTGGTGTAAACATGGGTCTTGTAGAGGACAGGAGGTTGTGCAGAAGTAAAGTATGTATGAGTCTCAAAAGATAACTTATTTTGGGGGGTTAATTCTTCAGTGTCAGATGTGTGGTGAGACTTGAGATGTTATTGGTAATGTGTGTATGAGAGCAGGAAGGTGAAGTAGACTACAATACACAGGGGGTTCTTAACCCTTTAAGTCCTGTAGGGTTAAATCATTGTCCTCAAATGGTTAAAGTATTGTCCTCAAAGGGTTTAAACCATCATCAAAAGGGTTTAAATTATCATCATCAAAAGGGTGTTTAAACCATCATCAAAAGGGTTAACTTGATTTTAATTTATAATTGTCTTGAGCTGCTCGACGGATATCAATATGCTGTACAGTATATGTTTATTGTGAAAGCTTTTGATACATTTTTACTTATTGACAGTGTCTTGCCTTGCTTGGGGTGATAGAGTATTAGTCTCCGGTTCTTGGGATCACAGCTGCCGAGTGTGGAGGAACTGGCAGTGCAGTTACGTAGTGAACGGACATGATGGACCTCTATGGTCAGTGGCGTTGGCACCAAGTGAAGATGTAGACAACGCCACGAGATCAGTTACTGTACTTACTGCCTCAGCTGACAAGACCATCAAGTTGTGGCTGGATGAAACGGTGAGATAACAAGTCGACTCTTGAGCTTACCTGCATAACTGTTTATTCCTGGTACAATGGAACCTCTATTTACCAGACTATATGGAGAGGAAAGTTTGTTATATCGAGGGTCTGTTAGATGTGAAACCTCCATCTAACAAGATATATAAAGAGTATCCATTATATTGAGGGTCCCACCTGCTATTACTTCCCATTTCTATTCTTTTCTCTCCTCTCATGGCAGTCATTTGCCACTTTACTTCATTATCATCATCATTGAGGGTCTGTTAGATGTGAAACCCCCAAGGTAACGGATTATATGGAGAGAGAAGTCTGTTATAGGGAGGTTTCGCTGTGTATAACTTCTTCATTGCCTGTTGGTTTGTGTCTGTGTGATGCTCCTTGATTTTATGTTCAGCAGTGATTCATTTAGAGTAATATTTTGATAGTACCAATAATCTACTTAATATCTCTGCTAGGTGATTTGTATGAGCATGACTCACTGTTTGTCATTGCCACATATAGTTGGTCTCTACATGCTGCCTTAGATACAGAAATAGTCCAATTCCCTGGGTGTTGTGTGTGTGCCTGGGGTAAAATGTACTGTAGAGTGTGACAAGAAATCTGCAATTTTATTGAATTAATTTCTGTCCTTTACATGTTTTCTCTGACTTGGTGTTTAAGTCAGTCTAGTGCATAAATTTCTAATTCTCATCCACTATTCATCCAATCTGGATTTTGTTGTCACTTCTTAAAGCTGATTGTATCCCTTTTGGTTTATTTTAATTCTCATTTGCTTGTTTGTTGTGTGTGTGTGCTAAGTTTATAGTCATTGTACAGTATCCATAATTATCCATACACTGTACATTATATCTTATTTTACAGGAACGGAAAACATTCACCGGCCACAAAGATTGTGTTCGAGGACTCACGTTTTTGAACCCAAGGCATTTTCTTTCTTGCTCCAACGATGCTTGTGTTATACTGTGGTCCATCACAGGAGAGGCCTTATCCACCTACTACGGGCATACAAATTACATATACTCGTGAGTGATTGTTATCGTGCCTCATACTTTCTTCCCCATTTATACACAAACAATAGTTGTTGTTGTTTTCTTTTGTTTTGTTTGTCTTCTTATCATATTTTTATTGACATAATTTTTGTAATCCAGGTTTTTACAGTTACCCGGTAGGTGACCACTGAACTTTTTTGGTCAGTGTTAGACAATGGTTAAAGACCGGTATATATATCATATTCCCAGAAACTTACGGCTATTTTCTCTCTAAACTTTTGGCTGGCCCCTTTAAAAACTTTGAAGGCTAAAATTGTGTTGAAAATAAAAGAAACTACTATTAACAAGTTTTGTAGTCCAAGTCAACCATTCATTAGTACTTGCTGCAGTTATTAGTTCTACCCCCCTCCAACACTTTCCTCGCTTACACATTGACATTCAAATTTCACTATTTTGTAATTGTTCTAAATTTTTACCTGCTTCAACTCTGATACATCATTCACTCATTTGCAATTTATACTAAAAAATGTGACCCAGGCGGATTAAAAAGATTCATGATACTTTTGGAGTTACATTATGAGAATAATGTTTCTAAGTACAGTATAGTATTACTTAGAAACTAGAATTTTTATTGGAAGTAATAGTTGAAGGTATGAGTGTGGTAAGATATTTATTGCTAATATTTTCAGGATAAGCCTTCTAAGTAAAGAGGGAGACTTTGTGACTGGCGGTGAAGACAGAACGTTGCGGGTCTGGGGTTCTGAAGGCAACTGTGTTCAAACAATTCACATGCCAGCACAGTCTGTGTGGGCAGTGGCAGCCCTCCCAAACACAGACATTGTTTGTGGATCAAGGTAAGCTAAATTAATGTACAGATTTTGAGCAGTGATTTGTGGTAACTTTGATTTTTAAAAAGGTTTGGTTTTCATAGTAGCTGGAATGAGAGTCATTTAATAGATTTCTTAAGAGGAGATGAACCATTTACAGTTGAAAATTGACTCGATGTTAGTATTAGTGTAGGATACTGCAAGGTTGATCAAAGAATTTTGAAAAAACAAATCATTCGATCAATGAGTTGACTGTCTTTTATGCTTACACTGTTTACGACTGAGAGTATTTTCAATAGGGTTATCCTTGTCCATTACTGTTGAGGGATTAATATAGTACAGGCAGCAAACCCTAAACACTGATACCATTGAAAAAGATTACTACCTGAATTATGAACGTAGGTGGAGTCCAGATCATGGTTTAGAATATGGGCAGTAATATTCTCCAAACTCGATTTCAGTTTATGTAATATACTTAGCCTGACACATGTTTTTCTGCATTTACAGTGATGGTATGTGTCGAGTATTTACAAGAATCAAAGAGCGACAGGCTGATGCAGAAGGTCAAAAAGAATTTGAAGAGAATGTTGCTAAATCCACCATGGCTGTAGAGGATCTTGGAGGCATTAAAAAGACCGAACTCCCAGGTAAGGAGGTTCTTCTGGCTCCTGGAAAACGTGACGGACACACTGTGATGGTTCGAGAGGGTGAGAAGGTGAATTGTTATTCCTGGTCAGCCTCAGACCAACAGTGGACGGCTGTAGGTGAGGTGGTGGGTGGTGCTGGAGGATCTCAAAGTACTTCTGGCAAGGTACTGTTTGAGGGTAAAGAATATGATTTTGTATTTGATGTCGAGCTTGATCAAGGTACTCGCTTTAAGCTGCCTTACAATAGTTGTGAGGATCCGTACTTTGCCGCGCAACGTTTTATTCATCGTCATGAGCTGCCTCAAGAGTTCTTGGACCAGGTGGCAACATTCATCATCAATAATACTAAAGGTATGACCCTGGGAGTAGAAGGGAACACTCAATTTGCAGACCCTTTTACTGGTGGGTCCCGCTACCAACCAGGTGCATCAGGACCAGCTCCTGGGGGGGCAGACCCATTCACAGGTGGTGGTCGATATGTGCCTGACGCCTTGGGTACAAGTGACCCTTCTAGTTCAGCAAATTACTCAACTCAGGGAGCAATAGCTCTTCCTCCTCCTTCTCACTTCTTTCCTCAATTGATACCATTGAAGTTTGAGGCTTGTAATTCTGTAGGTATGATGTCAAAGTTAACAGAGTGTAATTTCATGTTGAGTCAAGATAAACAGCTTAGTAATGTAGTGCTTGAACAGATGGTAGAAGCAGTATCAGGGGGAAGCGACTCAAATCCACAATTTTTGGCTCCTTTAGAAACAGCCTTACAGTGGCCAGCAGAACAAGTTTGGCCAGCTCTAGATGTGCTAAGGTTGGCGCTGCAGTCTGAACGCATGCAGAAGGTGTGGTTAGTTGAGGATCGTGGATTGGCTTTGATTAACCATCTTGTTTCTCTTGTTCGACCTCCCTCGTCGCCCAATGCTCAGTTATTATCTCTTCGTTGCTTGGCCAATATGGCTGCCCACGTAGAAGGACGTTGTATTTTAGCCAAGATGTGGGAACAGGTGGTTTCTGCCACGGTAGAAATATCACCGTACCCTAACAAAAATTTGGAGATTGCAGCAGCAACAGTACTACTAAATTACAGTGTCATACTGAGCATAAATACTGTTGGAAAGTTAGAGAATCAGTGTCAGGTGATGAGTGGTGCCGCAGCCGTGGCCATGTGCTCAAAAGAACCAGAGGCACAGTTCCGTGCTCTCGTGGCTCTCGGAACTCTGCTGTATCATAGTGAAGAGTGCCGTTCCTTTTCTGCCTCACTTGATCTAAAGCCTGTGATACAAAACTTATCAGGTGTTACCTCACCATCAAAAGTTGGAGAGTGTGCCGGCCACATACTACGGCTTCTCTAGCACTGTAGTTCAGTATTAGTAGTAGTAGTTTTATGAATTAATTGTAAAGGGTGTTTTTTTTATTGTAAATCTTTTAATACCTAAATAGAGGTAAGTTATCTTTCATGAGTTTAAGTTCAGAGTATAATTTTTGAAGTTGTGTTTGTTTAATGTGACCTCACCAAGAATAGCAATATGAACAGACTTTTGTAATGTTTAATGCACAGTAAGGCAAGCGCTCAGCTTGGCAATGTTGTGTTGTGATCAGTGAAACTATAAAAAATAAAAATTGAAAATAAAGGACATTATTAATATGTTAGTTTTCCCTTTTGGTTTTCTATTTTTAAATGCATTTGACCTAACACTTAATATACTTGAGAAACACAAGTACCAGCCAGTGATGACAACAGTCTTACAGAGTACTGTACTATACTCTACACTTGATGAAAATAAAGAAAATAATGGTGTTATCTCATTGATGCTAAGTAATAGAATTTACTGTACTATAGGGGTAGAATGTTAGAGCATGTATTCAAGTAAGTGTTCAATATTGAAAAGTCATGGCAGAATTTTAAGATGCATGTTAGCAGTCATCATAAAGGAATGTGTGTCCTGGAAGACTAAGATCAAGAGGAAGGAAGTTAGTGAATGACTTATTAAGGAGAGTGAAAAAGAAAAAAGATCACCATTTTTAAAAAATAGCAACTCCCAGGAATATGAAGACAAAATATCATACAAGAACCCAAACTCCATTAACTAATGAATAGATGAAAGAAAGCTCATCATTTTATATATACATGTGAAGTAAAATGAAAACATGGATATCTTAGGCCTATTTAAGGGAGAAAACAAATCCATGTATAGCAGATGAAAATCAGACAGCTGATACGGTACTGTTATTGTATGCTTTAGAGAAATATTAACAAGAAACCAGAAGACATGGCAGTTTGTAGGAGAGTGTTCAAGAAGAAACTGTCATCCAGAACCTAAGCTGCCAAGGAGGAAAAGACAGCACCAGGGTTCAAGGCAGCCAGGGACCGTCTCACGCTACTCCTGGGAGCTAACACTGAGGGTGATCTTAAACTCAAGCTGATGCTGATCTACCATGCCGAGAACCCCAGAGCACTGAAGGGTTACATTATTAGCATCTTCTCATCATTTGGTGCTCTAATTCTAAGGCACAGGTGACCATTGTGCTGTGCCAGAGTTAGGTGGTCCGCTACCTTCCCAAGTGGCTCAAGGAGTACGCCGACAGGAAAAACATTGCCAACAAATTTCTCCTGATCCCGGATAATGTGCCTTTGCAACCTGCCAGCAGGGAGGATTGAACTGGCAATATTGATGTGATGTTTCTCCCGGCCAACACCACCTCAATCCCCCAACATATGGATCAGGGTGTCATCACCACCTTCAAGGAGTGTTATCTGCAGCATGTGATAACTCACATAAACAGGCAAAGAGGACAAGCCAGCCATCAATTAGTTTTGGCACAGTTATAACATCAACAAGGCGACCAACAACACTGATGCATCGTGGGATGAGGTGAAGCATCAACACTGAATGATGTGTGGCGTAGTGTGGCTTGAGTGTGTGCATGGTTTTGCTGGCTTCGAGAAGGTAGAAGAGATCCAGCACAACATTGTGACCGTCTCACCAGACTGAATTTCTCGACAGCCACACCGAGTACTTCTTCAACCTGGAACAATAATGAGCGCTGGAAGAGGAGGAAGTTGAGTCAGAGGAACCTGGCAAGTTCCTCAGTATTGACCTGTTACTGCAAAACCTCTCTGATTGATGACATCCTCGCTAGGATCGCTGAAAATGACCCAAACCTAACGTGGAATGCTGAGGTGAAACGTTTTGGTTGAGAAAGACATTCAGTGCTACCAAGATCTCTACACTGATAAGCGGCAGAAAGAACCTCAGTTATCCATCATCCGTTTCTTCATGCTGAGGCCAGAGCCAACAGCACCACCTCTCGCCCAAGAAAGTGCTTGCCCGGACGTGGAAAGTGAGTGACATACCGGCCCAAGCAACAGAGTCCACCAGCCTCAGAGAGGACACATGATGATGACTTTGCTTCTGACTTGGACTTGTTGAGTGTTATTTTACTGTGCAGTAATTTATTATTATAGCAAATTACAGTTAAATGCAGCGTGCCGTATTTAGGTGAAAAAAAATCCCTGATGACCGAATCTCCATTATTTATCCCTCGTTTAGCAATAATTTTGATTAGCGTTAGTTTTTCAGGAACACAACTCCCATCATTAAATGAGGGATACCTGTAGTGCACTCATTCAGCAAAATCTTGATTATGGTATACTGTACTGTACAAAATGTGTTTTCCTCTTTCCTGAAAAGTTTTATTCTTAACATATTATCCCTTCAGACACTGAGATCCAGAATGTTTATGTACAGTACATTAGTACATTATACATATAGTACTGTATTCTCTTTGAAATTTGCAAAGTTATTTCAGTAATAAAATTCCTGCTTTCAGTCACTTAAACCTTTGTATTTTCTCACCATAGTAAAAGATTTATGTACAGTAATTTATCTATTTTTAGTACCATATTTTTTTTTTACAGATTTTTTTTATAAGTAAAAATTCAGAAGCAGTGATGTTATATGTATACAGTATATGATGGTTCCATCTTTATGTAAAACATTTGTGGCAGTGGTTCTGTTGTCTGACATAAAGACTAGAAAAGTAAACAATTTTAACTAGAATATTTAGCATTCCTGCCTCACTGTTTTTAAAAGTTTTATTCATTGTATTATTGGTTAAGGAAAGCCATGACTGTAAAGTATATCTTGCAGTGTATATGAAAACTATTGGTGACTCAAATTAGGTTGAGTTGTTAAGACTGAATATAAATGGTAGCAAATTTCTAAACCTCTGTACTGTACAGTATTTCAATAGTAGATCAGTAATGCTCAGACAAAAATTACAGCAGGTGGTGGTACCATACTGGGCTAACTTTGTACTCCAGAACTCTTAAAAGTGGCATCTTTTGTAGATTTGAACAAATGGTGCACTGTGCAGTGTTGAGACAGTGATGTGATGAATGGTCAGAAAAAAAGTGGCATTACACTCACTGTCTTATATTCTGAAACCCACAATGAAGGATTTTGGTAAAACTCTCCCGTCAATGCCTATGAAACGTCAAGGTTCGATCCTGAATCGCCAAAATTAAAGGAGAGTGACAGTACCAACTGCCACAATTGATGGTACAGGACCAAGCAGGCCGTCTCGTATCATAATATCACCATTTGGCCTGCCTGCATCACAAGCTCAAGATGACAGCATCTGCTGGCGAGTACAGTATAGCGTAAACAGTACTGTAGTGTATTTTGTTTTTACAATATATTGTACTGTATGTGTGCAGTAGTATTTGCATAAATACATACGGCTCTGTGTCTGTCTGACTGCAGTTAAGCCTCTGTAGCAGTGGTGCTCCATGCTAAATGCATTGTTTAGATGCGGAAACATTTACCGGTTCCCGGAAAAATTCCGTAGATGTGCGATTTTTTTAAGGAATAAGAAAATGCCTCAATACCTGAAAACACGCTGAAAATCTCCCTCCGTATTTACTTTACTTGAAGATGTGATACACGAAAGATCTTGGTCCTGTGATCTTTTTGTGTATAATAACAATTGAGAACTTAAAACCAAAGGTACAAAGTTTAATACGTGATGATATGTTGGCATTTTAAATTACCGATAACTTAAAATTAAATTTTTTTACTTTACTGTTATTCTCTTTGCCACTGATCACTTGGGCAATCAGTCACAGCTCTTACGCACTGTGGACTGTATCTGTACCAGTGTTGGTCAAGTCTGGTCTTGAATGAGCTCACACCCAGTGCCATTACAACACTCTCTGGCAGATTGTTCCAAGAGTTCATGACTCATTCCGAAAACCTTCAGCTATGATCCTTAGTGTGGCGGGCATCCGCTAGCTCCAGGTATGAACACTCGACTGAGCAATGTCCTCTGAGGCGTTTATAAACTTCAATTAAGTCACCCCTTGCAGGCACCAGTATGGTTGTCCTCTGGACATTTTCATTCAACTGACAATTTCTAGTTAGGTGCTTCCCCATCTGGAGTATTGTCACTCCGTCTGGTCCCCAAGATATGCTAGAGACTGTTAGTTGACTGAAAATGTCCAAAGAGGGGCCACCAGACTGATGCCCACATTACAGCACCTCAGGTACCCAGAGATTAAAACATTTGCAGTTGCCTAGCTTATATTATAGATGGGCAAGGGGTGACCTACTTCAATGTCTACCCTAACATACCCAAACACCAAATGAAACTCAAGCACATTGACCACGAGTTGTGTGAATATTACATTGTTTGCATTACACCTTTTCACTTATACGTTGAGACATTGTTATATACCTATTTGACATATTTCATAACCGAATGACAGAACACATATCAAATGACATTCTAAAATAACTGTTCGTTCATGCTAACAGAAATGATTGACAAAAGTTATGAAATTGACAGACGTGAACAATAAACCGACAGTCTATATGCAGACTGTCGGTTTATTGTTCACGTCTGTCAATTTCATAGCCTTTGTCAATCATTTCTGTTAGCATGAACGAACAGTTACGTATTTTAGAATGTCATTCGATATGTGTTCTGTCATTTGGTTATGAAATATGTCAAATAGGTATATAACTATGTCTCAACGTATATGTAAAAAGGTGTATTCAATAAAAATTACAGTATAAGACTTCATTGTTGATTCATTTCAATGTGGACACTGTACTTCTAGGCTGCCTCCTGCCCTACATAGAGATGATGTTTGAGGAAATAAAACAATGTGCTGTACTTTCTTATTCATTTTAAGTTCACAGTCAATTCTTCAAAGGTGAATATGCAATTTACACACTGTACTATACACACTAATGAAGCCTTCATGTCATATAAAACTCTCACTGGAGTCATTGTAAAAAAATAATGAATTTGTAAAACATTTTCTTGGTGAATGGTACATAAAACATATTGGCATTTATAAGAATAATGGCAGGAAAAGTGAAATTGGTCACATGTATCTTAATTGAGAAGCAAAATACAGTATATCGAGCTCCTCTAAATGCTATGACATGATAGCAAATGTTTAACAATGCCCATAAAATGTTTGTCATTAAGATAAGCAGCTAAAGTTAACATGCTCAACTTCTGACAAGTAAAATGATAACAAAACCAATAATAATAATAATGCCGTATTACGCAATCGGATCTTCTATGAATAAAACATTTGTTAAGGAGATAAATTCCGAAAAGAAAGAGAGAGCATCAATTAGCAACATAACTCTGATGACGGTATTCTTTTGCCAAGCCCAAACTGCAACATCACAATATTTTGTCAATTTACTAATATGAGAAATGTTATTAGATGGACATAATGTTTGTGTTGTACCATTTGTCTAAATTGTTTGTGTGTTTATAAAAATTAAATGAGGTTGAACCCTTTATTTAGACATAAGAACCACAGTACTTTTTTTTTTTAGCAAACCATTTACCTGTAGTACAGTACATATATTATTTTTTATTTTCAATGTACCGGTTAATGCTAATTCTGTGATTTATAACATGGCGGATTGTGAAATTAACTTAATTTTGTTCACTTTAGATAAGCTTTCCACTTGATCATTCCAAAAAAACTAATGTATGTGTATTTAAATTTTTATCATGTTCAGTACCAGTAAGATTTTTAAGGTAAAAACAATTTGACTGCAGCATAGCACAGGTAGAAGATGACCTTGCATATGAGGTGTAGCTATTACGTAATTAATGTTTATAAAAGATACGACATTAATTAAAATTCTTGGCATGCAGTCAGTGGCATTTTTGGAGTATATCCAGTATTATTATTATTATTGTATACAGTATATGTAAATAATTAATTTTTTTCAATTTCAACTAAAGGTTTCAATATCTGATAAAACTAATTCAACCAATACTGTACAGTATAATATAGAAGCATCAATTTGTATAACCTTGGCTTGTTTATATATATATTCCCAACTAGTTTTTGCACAATAACAAGAATCACAGTATTTTCTCATGCAACAACAGTGTCTACTAAAACATACAAATAAATATTTAATAGAGTAATTAGAAAATACAGAAGCATTTAATAAAAAAGCATCTGTCTTAACCTTTTAGCTGTGATAATTGACTGCAGTTGTGACGGTTATAAAATGCAACACAGTACTCAACTACATTACATCATTTTCGGCCCAAATGGAAAATTTTTCAGTTGATAGTCACGTACAAAGACCACTAAATGGCATTTTACAATCTGAATTGACAGTTGTAAAACATGAACTGACAATTATAGCAATAAATGATATATACCTGTACATTAAGTTAGTGCATTCACTGTGTTGAGGGAATGTTGTAATATTTGTCAATTCATGTTTTACACCTCAGTTCAGATTGTAAAATGCCATTTATTGGCCTTTGTACATCACCACCAACCGAAAAACTGTCCATTTGGGCCAAAAAATGCTGTACCATCATCTGTCTTTGAAAAATATTGTGTCGTCTCAGCCCTCCCTCTTTCACCTGATAGACAACATTACCAGTCGCTGCCGCTTTAAGATGAGAAACTCGCCCATAAATAATGATACACTCGGCTGCAAAGTGTACAGTCCGTACAGATTGGCCCATCCCTCCCCCCACCTCCAGAAACTTGGTGGTCAGCCAAGGTATAAAGTCAGTGCTTACCCCCAAACACGTAAGTATGGTTAGGTTTTAGAAACAGAAAGAAACATGCCAACATGTTCGAAGGTAGGCACTGACTTTACACATATCCTTAATCTGTGCATCGAGGACGACATGCTGAATCAGGATCTGTGGTCGAAATTTTATATGTCTTAATTGTACCAATGAAATTTTGATAATTAATTGTCTTCATTATATAATTAAGACAACACTTAATTATCAGAATTTCAACTTTTTGACTACAGATCTTTAATCTGCATGTCAAGGAATGTCTTAACTGATGTTTTGAGCAAAATTAATTTTTACCCCCCAAAAAAAAACTGCTAAACTTATCTGCATTTGCAATGTTTTATTTTTACTTTTTCTCACTCTTCTACTTTTCACCTGGAGCTCCTCGTTGCTCAGTAAAAGTAATAGTGTAAAGTGAGGGCCGTCTGTGTGTTAAGTCATTTACAGCACCATAGTTAAGGTAATATTCAGTGTAAACACTATAAACTTAACTGTCCTGTGTGAATGAAATTTTGCAAGGAAACATATTGATAATTTCTTTATAAATTTCCTTTTTTTTTCTTTTCTGTATTTGTACTGTAAAAAAAAATCTGTACCAGTTAGAAAAGAAAGATGACTCTAGATGTTAAAGAATCCTAATAATAATAATAATAAAAGGGATTATATTTCAAAATAATTACAAGACATTAAAATCCACAATGCAAGTCCTTGACTTTACTAATATAAAAAATAAGACAAAATAATTTGATAAAACTAAGTTTATTGAGCACCTCTGAGGTTCTGATACCGAATAAAATAATTTTGTTGTCCCTGCAATGAATTATTAATAAATTGCTTTTAAAAGAAAGTTTAGTAACTATTTAAGGACTGGATGTATACACTTATTCTCTTTAAAAGGAGAAGCAGAGGGAGAAATGCATGGAGTGAGAAAGCAACATGGAAAAAGAGAGGCTGAGAAAGGAACAGAATAAGGCTGAAATAATTTGAACAGTAGGTGAAGCAAGAGCTTACAGTGAGAGCATGAGTGTGACTTGCCTAACCTTAACACTATAAAATTATACGAGAAAGTAAAACTAAATGTATAATTGAGAGAGATGACTTCAAAAAGGGACACAGGAATTTATTGCAGGTACAGTATATTAGAGGGTGAAGATGGTGGACAAACAGAGATATTGAATATCAGGTGAGAGCAAGTTTTCCTAAAGTTGCTGATCATACAATATTATACTCCAGTGTAAATTACTGTAAAATAAACTCCTTGATACATGCCTTATTTTCATGGTATAGGACTACAGTATAGTGTTTAAATGACATATTACGAACTACAGTATTTTGCTACACTTCATATGGCATTTTCCGCATTTACTTTTCTTTCTGTAATGTCTCCATTAGCCTCAGCCATGGTAAGGGTAGACTTGTCCAAGTTACTATCTTGTGCGTTGTAAACGACAAGCTTCACAGGGTTGTCGAGACACTCGTTCCCGTGTGTGTGACCTTCATCTAAACAGTTGAATGCTCGACCACAGCATGGACACTCCTCAATTGAAGATCTAATAGAGTTCTTCAGTTTCTGTTGTGGATGAAAAAATATAACAATGAATGAAAGACAAGAGAAATATTCAAGTAAAATAAGCTAGGGGCTCATCTTCCAGTGATCCTTTTCTTTTTTAGCTTTCTGAAAAGTAAAGTGCTCAACTGTTGCATTATTTCTTGTTATCTGTCATTGGTGTATGAATTAATTACCTAAAATAAAAAAACTTACCTCAAATACAGTTGTTCCTTTAGCTTTAATTATAGCTATGATGGCAAAAATTGGGATCGGTGCAATGGAGAGTGTAGCAATGATCCATCCCACACCAATTGCCCAATCTGGGTATATGTATTCCCCCTTGTTGTATGTTGGTTGTTTGTAGTCTACCATTGAAAATATCCAGATAGCCTGTCAGTCATTTGAAAAACAAAACAAAAATTAACATGTGAAATGGTGATTCCTAACTACCTAGTACAGTACAGTACATTACTTTTTACTTTACTTTTATCCTCTTCATCACTGATTGGCTTGTTAGCCACTTGGGTGGTCGGTCACATCTCTGTTATGCATTGTAAGCATGCACTGGCTCCTGACTGAATGTATCTGTACATGCACCAGTGTTGGTCAAGTCTGGTCTTGAAAGAGCTCACACTCTTTCAATTGGTTTGTACATCTATGATCTATACTAAATGTTCCCAAGTATTACCTGGTAACTATACTTCTGCTTCTTGACATGCTCAGTTATTTAGGAGTAATAAGATCTCAAGGGAGACTCACAGCCACTAGACACACCTCATCACTGCTGTGTGTAAAGTTGAATGAGCAGAACACAGAGGTCCTCATACTCCTATTAGCATTTGGCAGCTATAAAAGTAAATTTACTTTTTCTAACCATATTCCTTGTCAATAACGACTTACTGCAGTTCAAAACTAATGTCAACAGACACTTAATAAATCAAGGTATTTACTATTCTATACAGTACAGTATATTGATTGGTCAGAAAATCTTGACCCATGTGATCCTACACCAAGACAGACATTTACCCTACCAGTGAGTCTCTTCCTTGTATGGAACAAATTTATCACAGGAAGATGATGTTATTTCCACATATTTTCTATTCAAAATTGTTCTACTTGAGACTTACCAGAATCAACACAGGTGAGGCAAAGTACCAGCAGAAGCGAAAGTATTGTGATGGTAAACGTCCTGTCATTTCTCTTATATTTCTCGATAGACGACCAGCACCATAAACCCACACAATGGCTACCACCTCAAAGAATGCCAGGTACATTAAGGACACTGCTGCAGCATAGTAGTCTATTAGTTGGAAAAAATAGATGCCACCCTGCAAGATAAAATGACACAAAATTGAACATATGATTTCAGTATTAATGCGGTACATAATTATGGTCACATCTGGCTTAATATTATAGTACATCCTTAACACAATTTAAAATTCCATGTAGATCAACTTCAGCTTCACCAACGTACAGCCACTATAAATTTCACAATAACTAAGTCATCAAGCTTGTGTGTTTCTATGGTAACATGTGCTCGGCTACCACTTAGTTCCTCATTTCTAAGAACTTACTTGCATGATATTTGGAAGGCCAAAGAGGAGGGAGATACAGCAAACAATCAAAACAAGAACTTCATGACGCTTCAGGTGTTTCCGAATCCATTTGGGAAATGCATCTTGAAGGGATGTGATGATGACCTGCAACACAGTATAAAATAATTTGTTCTTGTTAAATGATTAGTTGAACAGCTCTCAGAAATGATGCAACCCATCAATACTTGACTGTCTAATATATACAGTACACACATACATATATAATTGTGTGTGTGTGTATTTACCACATATCTAGGTGTTGAATATTATTTACTATGGGAAAGCGTTAAATGTTAGAGTACGGTGAGTGCCCCGAACAAGTGAGGTGCCCAGGTACTAGGTGAGCAGGAGCCCAACTGTTAATGAGTGAGGGGCTGGAGAGAGGAAAACAGATAATACTTTCATTAACATTTAATTAATAACTACTGATCCCCGACCACCCAATATGTACCAAAATAGAATGCAAGGAACATGAAACTTCCAATAATAAAGAATACCTGAGCAAGATCATGAATTAATCTAAAATTTTCTTAAGTATATACTGCACTGTAAACAGAACTAGACCCTAACAACTGAATGGGGTGAGAAATAGTGCTGTGAACACATGAAAGGAGTTTTTCTTCATTTGAGCACTTTGAGTGATGATGAGATGCTCTCTACTATCATAACAAGTACATACAATATTTATTTGGCATTTCACAACTTACCAGCTGTTTGGCTGGTTGGTCTGTTCTTTTTTACTTTGTTATGACCTTTATTACCTTGTGCTAGTAAAAGAGGAAACTGTCAAACCTAGAGAAAACCTGCCAAGTTTTATAGAGCCACACTGGATAACACCCTTCTCGCATCTGTCCTGATCTGGGGATTGAACCCATGACACAATGGTAAAATGCCACATTGCCTGATTTGGGGACACAAACTGAGACTATGAGACATACAAAGCTTCTCACTAGACCTATGACTGGAACTACAAATTAGAAACATCAACAGATAAAGACACAATATTCACCAACACACTTACACAAACATACCTTTTAACGTAGAAAGAACAGTAAACACCTTTCCTAATACATGATGATATAAAGAACTACTGTAATTGAATTTTGGACATGACTTGCCACATATTGAATGAGTGAGTACTGTACAGTGAATCCTCTTTAACGACAATATGGATAAGAAAGTCTGTTATATCAAGGGTACAGATTAGATATGAAACCTCCATTTAACGAGCTACATAGAGATAAAAAGTCTGTTATATCGAGGGTCCATTAGATGTGAAACCCCCCATTCAATGGATTATGTAGAGAGATAATTCTGTTACATGGTAATCTCACTAACCCTGGTAAAATAAAAAAAAGTGGACTGACCTCAACTGTAGCAAACTGTGAGTCGAGACCCAGAATGAGAAGCATGAAGAAGAACAGGATGGCCCACACATTAGCATAAGGCATCTTGGCTAGGGCCTGTGGGTACACCATGAATACTAGCCCTGGACCTGTAAAACAAAATAAAAAATGTTTAAAGATCTTTGCATCTGAAATAACTTTAGAAACTATTTCCCTCAGTTATGAAAACAAGGTACCAGTGAGTCAGTACGTTCTTGTGTATACTGTACTTATTACTGTATTCAATCTAAAAAGTCATCATAACTTTCTCAGTCCCAGACACCTACACTGCCTGGCCTAGCAGTGTGGGTCTTGTTCCCCTCTGCCTAGTATGATGCGCATGAACCTAAATCATACTCTAAACATACCCAAATGAACACCCAAACTTTGTATGAAGATCCTTTATGGGTACAGTATACAACTTTCTTACATTGAATATGTATGAAAACCTTGGGAGTTAAAATTGTGACATTAATGAACCTTGAAAAAATTTATAAAATTATAATATTTAAAATGTCAATTATAGTGTACCAGTAAATTTTTTAAATCACTTTTATATATATTCTCTCGGTGATATAGACTAACTTTACCATTTTAACATGTTCGTTTTCACTCTCCAGAAAATTTATACAATGGTATTCCTATACATGCTGATAAAGAATATGCATACATCATCTTAAAATTAGAGTAATTTGAAAAAAATATATAATTTGAATAGTACAGTGATCCCTCGGTTAACAAGATTTCGGTTAACGAGTTACCTTCCATAAGATTCTTAACTTCGGTTAACGAGCAATCCCTCGATTAACGAGTTTTTAACGAGCGCCCCTCCACATGTTTTTGCTTGCATTTGGCGGTCCACCAGCTGTAGTATTAGTCCACCAATACAGTAATCGGTTCTAGGGCTTAAATTCCTTACTATTTTAGTAAATATCAAGAAGTTTGTACTATTCAATAATTTTAAAAGTTTTATATTAAATTTTTTAGTAATTTTAACAATTATTGAACATAATTGAAGTATAGGAAGCTAGTTTTTTGCGCGCCAAACAGCCTGTCAACACACCATACAGGGGTCAGTCTCTGTGTCTTTTCAGTGGAGGTAACATCTTGCTTGAGACTCTCTTCAACTAAATGCTTTTTTCTGTGTTTCCAAGCAAATTATTAGTCAATTTGAAATTTATTTTACATATTGACAATATGTAATGCAGTGCAGTGTTGATTTAAAGAAAATAATCTTGAATTACACCAAGAAAACTAAAATTTTATGGGTGAAATGGCACCATGGGGTGACTTCTCTTCCACCCCAATGCCTTCTCTTCTCCCTTCTCCTCCACCCCCATTCTAATTCCCATCATTATCATCATCATCCAGGAGCCTTCTACATACACACCTCAAAGTAAGTGTACTTTACTTCCTTTTTTGTTGATTTTACGCAATTTTCGGTGAGCAGGAACCAATTACCCAAAACCCCATTGAAACAATGGTTTCGGTTAACGAGCAACCTTCTGGAACGAATTGTGCTCGTTAACCGAGGGACCACTGTATTCAAAATGTCAATTACGGTGTACCCGGCCCTCCTGGTAGGCTAGATAGCTCTCAGTTTGGTGTTGGGTCACATGGGTTGAGGTTTTTACTCGACTGTTTGATCAGAAATGTTGTGGAAACCCGCTCTGTCTGCCCGGAGATCAAACAAGGGCTAGTAAAGCAGCACAGAGGTGCTAACCACTACAACTGCTGTGCAAAAAAAAAAAAAAAAAATCTTCCAAACCTTCTGCAGTACAATACAGTGGTCCCTTGGTTAACGAACACAATTCATTCCAGAAGGTCGTTCGTTAACCGAAACCATTGTTTCAATGGGATTTTGGATAATTGGTTCCAGTTCGCCGAAAATTACATACAAAGTAAAAATAAATGCAGTAAAGTACACTTACTTTGAGGTGTGTATGTAGAAGGCTCCTGGTTGATGATGATGATGATGATGAGAATTAGAAGTGGGGGTGGAGGAGAAGGGAGAAGAGAAGGAAGTGGGGGTGGAAGAGAAATCACCCCATGCTTCATGCCGTCATTTCACCCATAAAATTTTAAGTTTACTAGGTGTTATTCAAGATTATTTTCTTTAAATCAACACTGCACTGCATTATATATTGTCAATATGTAAAATAAATTTCAGAATGACCAATAATTGTACTGTAAAAATGGAAAAATAGTTTATGTTCAAGAGAGCCACAAGCAAGATGTTACCTCCACTGACCAGAGATACAAACTGACGCCTTGCTGGGCGAGTCAAGTGGCTGATTGGCGCACCAAAAACTAGTTTCCTGTACTGCAAATATGTTAAATAAGTATTAAAATGACTAAAAAAATTAATATAAAACTTGGAAAATTATTGAATAGTACAACCTTCTTGATATTTACTCAAATGGTAACGAATTTAAGCCCTAGAACCGATTACTGTATTGGCGGACTAATATTCCAGCTGGTGAGCAAGAGAAAACATGCTGACACACTCGTAAAAATTTTGTTAACCGAATTTTTGTTCGTTAACCGAATTGAAGATTCTCATGGAAGGTAATTCGTTAACTGAGGGATCACTGTACAGTTCTTAGATGTACAATACAACAGGAAGAAAAATCTTTCAAATACCCTGTAATTTGAAAGTCAAATAAATCCATAAAAAAGTACATGAAGAAGCCTATGAACTTTCACTGCTGTACACTGTATACACATTGCATTATTCTGCTGATAAATTGGGGTTAAATATGTTCTTCCTTCCTGGAAATGCAGAGGGAACATGTAAGTACAGTATGTACATGTACAGTACTGTATTTGAAAATATGATTGTTCAGTATTAAAGCAATCAAATGTTACTACAGTATCGTGGAACGTTAATATAAATAAAATCTGATATATTATCATCATCATCATCAATTACCTTCAGCAACAACATCGTCAATGTCTCTGTGTTGCTCGAAGGCAATGTTGCCGAGAGTAGAGAAGACGATCATGCCGGCCAGCAGTGAGGTGAATGAGTTAGTCAGACTGATGGCCCACGTGTCCACTACGATGTTGTTATTGAATTTGTTGTATGATGAAAATGCTATCAGTGATCCAAATGCAATGCCAATACTGTTGAAGTTCTGGGCCGCTGCATTTACCCACACCTAGAGAAGATACATAGTAGAAATTATATACGTAGTCCAAATGTTCTTTATACCATCGAGTTCAGAGAATACAAGAAAGTTAAGAATTTTTTTATTTTTATTCTTAAATTAAAGAAACGTCCTAATCTTTCTTGACTTTTTCTCTCTCTCTCTGGATGTGAGTACTGTAGATATGTACCCAGTGGCAGAACTGTGTTCCTGTGTCCCCTGCAGTAACCCATGTCTCCAAATGGCCAACCTGTATGACCTATAGCAAACTTATCCACCAATCACGTCCGTCATTACACGACCAATACCCATTCATTCATAAATACTAGTGATACTACTACTGTGATGTTGCCGTTTAGAGACACGGGTTACCATAGGGGGTGTAGGAACGCATTTCCACAACTGTACTGGTAATTGTACTTCTGGATCACATGAAGATTAGGTCCCCTTAGCTTATTTCACCTGAAGATTAGCCATCCTAATACTACCTATAATATTAAGTAAAAGCATTAGGTTAATCTTCAGATGAAATAAAATAGGGTGGCTAATATTCACATGTACAGTACTGTACATACTTCTAAAAAGTGTTTCTAAAAATACTAAATACTAATACTGTACAGTATTAGCCTTCCCAGTTTGTTTCACTGAATATTAACCACCCTATTGCTAATTTAATCTATTCTAACATAACCCACCAAACCTAATGTAATGTAATCTAACCTATACTAACCTAACCTATCTCTCCCAGGTAGCATTAGTGTTTAAATTTTAGGTTAAATATGCTAGGGGGAGCTAATTTTCATTTACAGTAAGTCCACGTTTTTTCTTGCAAATTCTTCCCTGTTTTGCTGCAGGTGGCCAGACTCAACTACAAAAAACAGACATGACTCTTCTCTACATCACCTCCATCCCCTCAATCCACCTGCTGTATATTATCACCACGTTATACCGTACAGTACCTCAGCATTTCCTAGCAGCTCCCAACGAGGATTAAAGAAGTACCGGAGGCCTATGTTGGCGCCGGGCAATGTCAACGCTCGCCACAAGAACGCACCAATCAGCAAGTATGGAAGTGTTGCCGTCACGTACACAACCTGCAAGAATCGAATAATATATTATAATTACATTTTGCCGACTAAGGATTGCTTTTCTAATTTGGTATTATGCGCTGGATATTTAAAATGGACATGTTTACAAATATTTCTGAGTTAAAAGGTGATCTAAAAGTCTCTGTGCACCTACAATTCTTAACAGTATAGTTGTTCCCTGTTATAACTACATTGTTATATACAGTAACCTGTTCTACTTACAGTAAATATTGGGACTGGTATCCACTTCTAATATTTACTGTGACCATTTCCAAAATTTACCATAAACAGAATATGGTATCAAATGTCTGGCTGTGTGTCAGGCTCACAGGGTACACAGCGGCCACACAAACAAAATATTTCATACACCCATCAGTTAGAAGCGAGTGTGAATGTTGAGAGGTCAATAACACACAGAAATTTGTCAAAACTGTTCTTATCTAACATCATATTTTTGTGCATAAAGATCAGATGAATTTACACACTTTGATAAATAACAACAATAAATAAACATTTAATACATGATAAACACCTAAGCATTGCATAGTATAGAATTACTGTACAAAGAAGAAATATAATGGAACACTGAAGAGATAAGATATACTGTATATAAAAGTAATAGAGATACAAAGAAAAGATAGATATTTGGAAGAGAGAGATACAAGAGGTAGATAATGTACACTTCATGAAAGAGACAGCATTAGCCACCATTTTGCCTGAGAATAACACACAACATACTGGGCACACAGACACACCCACAAGGTGTGTTACTACATTCTTAAGCTGACAATGTTCACAAAAAATTCAATCAAGTTATTTTCATTTCCAAATACAGTACTAAGCAAAAGTAAAGTACTGTACCGTATATGTCTTCAATCATACTTTTAAAAGCTTATTTCTAACTGCTGTACATCATGTGTTTCAATGTGAATTCATGTATAGACTTTTAAAAGGTGTAAATGGCATATTTTTGTGGGTTATAGAGCCTGTACAGTACTTGCCCAGTAACTGCAGGGATTGAGAGACTGATAATATGTAAGAAATAGACATAACGCTCACCTTTCCAGACGACTTGACAGATTTCCATAAGGAGAAGTACACAAGGATCCACGCGGCGAACAGTGCCAGCAGTAACTCGAGTCTTAACGTCCCCATCTCACCTATGCCTTTGCTCTTTTGTAGAACAACTTCACTGTATGAATAATGAAGACAAGGTGTGACATATAGCAGAGATAACATAGCAACACTAGCTATGTCTTCAAATAATATAACAATGTAGAGAAACTGTTGCAGCCTAATAACACCAAGATAACAAACATGACATCAAATTAAGACATAACAAACACAACCAATTAAAATACTAACTCAAAGAATTCCTCTGTTGGAGATTTAGTTCCATTTGGTGCCACAATATCTGCATCATACTCAAAACAATTCACAGCCCATGTAGTGTTGCAACTGCTCCAAGGTAACTCAGAAGAAAACGACTGTACAAAATAGAATATTGCCCAGGCGATGATGACGTTATAGTACGTACACAGCAAGAAGGAAATCACCACAGTTCCTACTCCAGCACCTGCAAAGATACAGTGTCGTATGTTGATTCCTGATACAGTGTTGTATTGCAGTACAGTATATGAGGCACTCCAGGCAAGAACAAGATAAGTGACAAAGTAACTTGAGATGTGATCATTATCGCATTTTAAAACTCCTAAACTTTATTAACATTTTCTGGCGTGTTTTTGTTTTGTTTTTTGTTTTGTTTTTGTTTGACACTTGTATACCTCTTGCCTGGAGCACCTCACATAGCTTACATTAAATTTTAGTATTCACTAATCTAAACTCATGTTCTGTTTTTGCATATACAGTTAACCCTCACTTTACGCGGTCCCACATTCCGCGTTTCCACGTTTACGCGGTGCCCTGCCGGAACCCAGGATGCTCACATTCCGCGGTGCGTGTACCCCTTTACGCGGAGAGCGGCTGGCGAGCCGCGCCATTTTTGGATCCAAACCTCCCGCCATCCGCCATGTTGTGTAAGCTGCGCGAGCAGGGTGCGCACAAGGTCGCCCAGTCATCAAAACATTACCAGTTCTTCACCCGCCACCCACCACAGCCGGCCCAAGTCAGTGATAGTGATAATTATGGTGAGGATATGGACTTATATGGACTTTGGGGAGTTTGACAAAGAGGCCCTGCAAGCCTCTGTGGTGGATAGTGATACAATTGATACAAGTGACACAGGTGAGGGCCAATAATCTGCCCTCTGCCTCGGAACCAACCGCCCATCCCCGTGTGCCCAGCCATTTTTTCTACTAATGTAAGTGTTAAAAAACCTAATATTATTGATATTTCTCTTAATTATTAATTGTGTGTGCATACCATCATAAAGTTAAGATAATATTTTTACTACAACATAGTTGTGTGTCGTCAAAAAGTGGAGTTTGGGGATCGGCCCGGACTCCATTTCAATTAATCCCATATGTTATGTTATTCACTTTACGCGTTTCTCACTTTACGCGGGACCCTCCGGGTTACATTAACCGCGTAAAGTGAGGGTTAACTGTAGTTTACTGGTACTGTACAGTTTATAAAAAAGATGTACTTACAGGTACTTAATAATCAAATAATACATGTGGCTGCGTTCCCCGATTCCTCCCAATCTCTTAAGATATTAAGTTTCTCCAGCACAGATTTGCCTAATACTGTACAGTAAGTCCTCGTTTAACGTTGCCCGATAACTTTGTTTGATAATAACGTAGCTATTCTTTAGATACCCATGATTCGGATAACGTCCCGCCAATTGAGTATAACATCGTCACAGACTACTGTACTTTGTACAGCGCATCACCCTCTCTCATCTTGGCGTGCTACGACGCTCTCAGCTAGGCACGCTATGCTCTCACTCGCAGAGCATCACACAGCATCGCCAGCTTTGTTAGGCTTCCACAGCATTCGTGCGTGTTTTTGCTCTTAATACTGTACTTTAACCATTCGAAATGGCTTCCAAACGCCCATCAAGTGCTAGTGTTGTGAAGAAGCAAAATAAGACCATTAGCCTTGCTTCGAAAATGGAGGTTTTAACCCATTTTGAGAAAGGTGAACGTACGGTGAACATTGCTGTTTCCCTAGGTCTAACCCCCACAACAATGCGTACTATCCAGACCAGCATGGACAAGATTAAGGCTAGTGCTGGAAGTGGTACTTCTCTGAGTGCAACAAAGACAAGTCGTGTTCGAAGTTGCGTGATTGAAAAGCTGGAAAAGATGCTGGCTATGTGGATGGAGGACCAGATTCAATGCAATGCCCCTGTGAGCCTTATGGTTATCCAGCATAAAGCAAAATCCTTGTTTGACGACTTACTGTATAGGCAGCAGAGGGTGAGGGATTGAAGGATGAGACCTTTACAGTCACCTGAGGAAGGTTTCAACGTTTTAAGCACCGTTATAACTTCCATAATATTAAGATGACTGGTGAAGCTGCTAGTTCAGATAAGGTTGCTGCCGAGATATTCCTGCCGGAGTTCAAAAGCATTATCGAGAAAGGAGGCTACTCAGTGAAGCAAGTCTTCAATGTGGATGAGACTGGTTTCTTTTGGAAGAGGATGCCTGAAAGAATCTATATCTCCAAGGAAGAAAAAAAAGAGTGCCATGTTTTAAAGCAGCAAAAGACTGCTTGGCGCGAACGTTTCTGGCGACTTCAAGCTGAAATCTATGCTAATTTCTTGTGCTGCCAACCCATGTGCCATGAAAATTTACTCTAAGGATCACCTTCCTGTTATCTACAAGGCAAATAAGAAGGCATGGATAACCAGCGCCATATTTAGCCAGTGGTTAACTGTGTACGCCGTCCCTGCACTAAAGGATTATTGAGTCAAGGAGAACCTCGACTTCAAAATTGTTCTTGTCAATGACAATGCTCCGCATCCTCCCAGTCTCGACGACTTACATGACAATGTTCGAGTTGTCTTCCTGCTCCCCAACACGACAGCACTGATGCAGCCTATGGACCATGGCGTTATCGGCGCATTCAAGGCGTATTATTTATGGTGTACCATGGACCAACTGTTCAAGGCTACTGACGGAGAAAATAAACCTACAATCCGGGAATATTGGCGGGGCTTCAACATTCTTCATGCAATCGACAACAATGGCAAGGCATGGGAATAAGTTTCAGAAAGTTGCCTGAATGGTGTGTGGCGTAAGTTATGGCCTGAGTGCGTGAACAGTTTTATGGGATTCACGGACTTCGTCCCATCGGTGAATGGGGATATTCTCAGCTTGGCTAGACAGGCAGGCTTTCACGAGTTGGAATCTGAGGAAGCAAGTCCTGGCATCCCATACAGAAGAGCTTACTAATGAAGACCTGCAACTGCTAACAGAACACAGTGCCGCTGAAGACGATGACAACGAAGAAGAACCACAACGAACGCTATCTACCAAGAGGATGGCAGAAGCGTTCGACATGATCCAGGAAGGAATGCATATCTTCATTGTTGATGACCCAAACAGAGAACGTGGCTCAAAGATTGTATGCAACATGGAGGAAACTCTTAGTTGCTATAATGAAATCTACAAGAACAAAAAGAAGAGGAGCACTAAGCAGTCAACCCTGGATTCTTTTTTTTCGTCACCGGAAGGCAGAAGCAGCATCTTCACAACAGCCTGCAAGCAAGGAGGAGCAACTAGCAGCCGAGGAGGAGCAAACAGCAGCGGAGGAACCCCAGTCAGAGCGGGAGGAGCCACCCGCCAGGTCTTAGTGACTCGCCACCCTCCTCCTCTCCCGCCCTCCTTCTCCACTCCACTACCCACCACACATTCGCTCCACCGCCTCCGCCCATCAGTGAGTACAATACAAAATGATTTAGTTTATATATATATATATATATATATATATATATATATATATATATATATATATATATATATATATATATATATATATATATATATATATATATATATATATATATATATATATATATATATATATATATATATATATATATATATATATATATATATATATACAGTGACCCCTCGCTTTAACGAACACCTCGGTTAACGTAATTTCGATTAACTAACTGCCTTCCATAAGGATCTTCAATTCGGTTAACGAAAAAAAATTCGCTTAACGAACTTCTTACGAACCGACCTCAACATGTTTTCGCTTGCACTGACCGGGCAACCAGCTTTAGTATCAGTCCACCAATACATTAATCGGTTCTAGGGCTTAAATTCCTTACTATTTTTGTAAATATCAAGAAGTTTATACTATTCAATAATTTTAAAAGTTTAATATTCAATTTTTTAGTCATTTTAACAATTATTGAACGAAATTGAAGGTAAAGTGACTAGTTTAATGCGCTGCATCCAGCCTCTTAACACAGCAAACAGGCGTCAGTCTCTCTCTGTTTTCACTGGAGGTAACATCTTGCTTGAGACTCTCTTCAACTAAATGCTTTTTTTCTGTGTTTCCAAGCAAATTATTGGTCATTTTGAAATATATTTTATATATTGACAATATATAATGCAGTGCAGCATTGATTTAAAGAAAATAATCTTGAATTAAACCAGAGAGCTAAAATTTTATGGGTGAAATGGCACCATGGGGTGACTTCTCTTCCACCCCAATGCCTTCTCTTCTTCCTTCTCCTCCACCCCCATTCTAAATCCCATCATCATCATCATCATCCAGGAGCCTTCTACATACACACCTCAAAGTAAGTGAACTTTTCTACCATTTTTGTTGAATTTAGGAAATTTTCGGTGAGCTGGAACCAATTACCCAAAAACCCATTGAAACAATGGTTTCGTTATCGAACGTCAAGTTAACGAACGACCTTCTGGAACGGATTGAGTTCGTTAACCGAGGGCCACTGTATATATATATACTATTTTCTATATGAAAAAGTCATTGAATTTCTGTATATGTAATGTATTTTATAGGGCAAAGGGAGGCTGGGGAACGTAACTCCCGTATTTTATCCAATTCTTATGGGGAAAATTGATTCCGTTAACGTCGCGGTTCTCAAGAATGAAACCACGGCGTTAAGCAAGGACTTACTGTACGCCATTTTCAAGGAACCTAACCCCCACACTGGAGGGCTTATTGTACATATAAAAAAGTCACAAAATGACACAAACACATACTGTACACTGAAGTATATGCAAAAAATATTTCATCACTATAAAATGAAAAATAACCTTTAAATAGAGGACAAATCTTCTCCATGGCAGCAATAGGCCCCCGTCTGGTGTACTGGCCCACCGTCAGCTCCATTAGCAGCAGTGGGATGCCACACACGAACAACATCAGGAAATATGGGATCAGAAATGCACCTGTTGATAAAATCATGATGAAAAAGTGATTCCCATATGCATCACTGCCTGTTACAGACAATCTGGATATAGTACACTGTACACTATACTGAGCCTTCAGTACACAGAGCAATCATGCCCTGGACTGCACTTAATTACCTTAATATCCTCAACTATAAAGTTGATATTTAATCACAGCTGGACAAAATATAGTACTGTACATAGTAAGCAATTGCAGAACATTAGCAGTATTCATGGCCTGAAACAACAAACAACCAATAATATTATCCAAACTACAGTAGATTGAAAATAAGTATTATTGCTGCTGTGTTATCCTCAGTACGGTAAAATTGGCAAATATTGTATTCAAATCAAATCAACCTCATACACTGAATATTAATATCATATCCATGATGAATTAAGTTCATGGAGAGAAGGGCAGTAATTAAAAGGGCAAATGATGAGCGAAGAAGGTTCACTGGAAGGGTAAAAGGTGGATGGAAGGGAGTTGTAGGAGAAAGGTATTATAGTACGGGTACTCACCTCCTCCACTCTTGTAGCATAAGTAAGGAAACCGCCACAGGTTACCGAGGCCGACAGATGAACCAATACACGCCAGAATGAACTGTGCCTTATTACCCCACGTCTGACGAGGCTCTGCCCCAGCCCTGCCCGGCTGCTCGTCATCCTGCCCGGCGGCCCTGCACAACACAGTACTACACTACTCCACAATATTCTCATATATCACACACCTAACTAAAACACTACATACACTACTTAAATTAACATTATTTTGAAATTTAGCAAAATGCTAGACATAAGTTAAAATTAATAAAACAAATTATTAACCAGCACCTTTTTATTTTATTTATTTTTTAAAGTATATTTTGCCTAAAGAGAATGAAAATGCAGTAGAATGCTAGCACACAGCCATGTACTTCTTTAGAGGAGTCCAAATCAACATCAACAAAGTGTGGGCATGGTGCAAACATTGTGTAAATTAATTATCGGGTATAACCAACAAACGTGGCAGGTCCTGGACAGTGGCACAATACACGGTAGTGGTGAAAAGTATTAGTTGTGACACTAATACACACTGCAGGAAGATAATTAAGTGCGGGACACCCTTCACCCTTGCCAGGTGTATCTGTTTCCCAGCCTTTATGACAGCACTAGCTGACAGAACTGCTGCAAAATAGTGGAGTTTTGAGTTATAATGATCTAATTTTAAGAACAAAAATCACCTCTCATGAGCCAAAATAACAGAGATGCCAGTTAAGCGATTTTGGAGCTAAATGTAGCAGTATTCATTTATATATAATTATCAACACATCTAAATCCACCGATTGAAAATCTAAGTGTTTAGGGCATTATTATAATTTTTTTATGATTTCCTTACAATTACCTGATAAAGTCTTGCCATTTTTTCTGTGCCATTCTAACGATTTTTAAGAACAACTAGGCTTATAGCGGTTAGCGATATTAGAAATTAAAATTGTCAACATTGTTATCCTTTGCAATTGGCGCGAAGCGCAGTTTAGTGACATTTCTGAGTGCTTTAGGGTGATTATGTCAGTGGGTTCCTCTAAACTCTAAGGTAAAGTTCTTTATTATATCTTGTTGCTTATAAGACACTACCCTCAAGCATAATGCGAAAACACAAATGTAAATTTACTGCAGATTTAAAGAGTAAATTCCCACATTTTAAAAGTGGTAGAGAAGAATAGGAAGCTGAATGATTGGTGAGTAAACCAGGAACTTCTGTTCCTGGGACAAATAAAACCACTGATGATTAACAAACGAATGTGAACTTAGACAAGCACAAGAAAGCAGTTCGGGAGGAGAGCTCATCCATAAATCTGACATTATTTTGTAAGACCAACTCAAAAAGACGGCTGCTTCTGGGCTGAGTAAGCAGGTAGAGGGGGTATCGTGTGTGTGTGTGTGTGCAGATGTCGTCTGTCCCACGGAGCGTCCTACTTTTTCAATGATCAGATATGGTATACACGTGAGTACCAGATACAGCAAAAAATGAAGATAATAGGATTGGAGACATTACGACACCCGAATCATGTCATCTCGGCAGACACCGTCACTAATACATAAAGCACATAAGCAAACTGTGGTAGACGGTGAACTAGCAATTATTTTCTTTATATAAACATGAATGTGCGTTCATTATACAAGACTAATCGTGCAGCAGTAAACAATATAACAATGCAAAAATGATATGAGTACAGCTGTTGTGGTCTGCCTGGCTTCACAGAGATTTATACAGTGAATATTGATCTTGAGTGAAGATATAAGAGTACAGTATATCTTTCTGACCAGCTAACACAAAAATAACACCAAAATTGGTTTCGAAACTACAGGCTCTTACTTTTGTTTACTTATACCAATAGGAAGTAAAAATAATGCCCAACATTTCTTCGAAATATCATCTGCATTAATTCTGCCTCGTGTTAAACTAAGCTATTCTAGTCAAGGTTTTGATGCTATTTTTTTATGTTTTAGTCCAAGTTAACCAGTTAGGTACATTCTTACAACTTCACTATAAACATCAAGTGTGCACATGCACTACGGGAATCGAGGAAGAACAGTAGTGTCGCTGGCACCAACACTTTGGCCATCACAAACATGCACCCTCTACACCTATAACATAATTACAATACACTTAAGAAAAATACATAAAATACTATGTAAACAATGAAAAAAATTCATGCCAGAAAATTAATAAATATGCAAATCATTGTACTGGTACGAATACCAAAATGCGGGCAAACTAATAACATGAACCATAAAATGTGCAACAATTTACATACACAGGTGATGAGTTACGCCTGCATTAAACGACATAACAGCCACCATCAGCTGGTACAGTATTAGATAAGCAAGAATGGGGACACAAAGATGGTGGGTGGCAGCAACCGTGATGGGCCGCCTACCTTGCCTCCTGCTGACATAGCGCCTCCCGCTCATCCTCCTGCTGCTGTCCATCCTCCTGCTTACTGGGTTGTTCCTCGTGTTGCGCCCCGCTACTGGGTATCTGACACATGGTGGCTGGCCAAGTGATTCTACACACACTCACACACCTGGGTATCCCACATTCAGTGCCCAGGTGACATTATCTCCGCCTCCACTTGTGAAATCTAATACACTTAACCACATTCACTAGTACGTATGTAATACCGGGAATACCAAGGTATTACGATCTTCCTCCTTTTTTTTAACTGATCTGGTGTAATGTAGACTTTCCTGGCGTTATCAGCGCTACACTGCTAAATTTTAGCACCTATTTGAATTACTTGAAGTAGGTTCTCCGTGCTGCTGCTCAGATTTTAAACCTCTGTAAACTCAGTTATTGCCTGTGCTCTTAGGGTTAGCTCTCCTCTGCTGATCAATTTTCAAACCTTTGTGCTATGAACTGTTCAAGTGAGTCAACAAATTTCTTCTCTAAATTTTTCAATCGCTTGCTAAACTTAACTCCGTCGTCTTCAAAGTGTGGAGGCAGCCCCACATTCCCACCGTAAGTATCTTGGCGCGCTAAGCTACCACCTAGATGCAGCCTTTATTTACTCTTGTTGCCTGCCAGGATGTTTTGCTAATGTGCCTTAGTTTATTATATTATTGCATATAATTTCTGGTGATTCTTAGCTTCTTTTTTCGTCTAGTTTTTCCTGTGTTTTTTTTCAGCTTCAGCTTCACTCAGCAGTGTACTTTAACAGCTCTCGCAGTGTGCTTCATCTGCATTTCAACATCTTCGATAAACTTCGGCTGCTTTTTATGATGTCTTTTTTATCGGGTGGTAATGATTGTGTGTGCGTGTAGCAGTGGTATCACAAGCTGTCCCATCTACGTCTCTCCTGCTGCAGCTGCTCCAACACGTTCAGTGGATGTGTATACCTCTTCTCCGTCTCTCACTTGCCATGCCTGAGTATCCCAGACTGGTGACTGGTAATAAAACATCCAGCTGCTACAGGTCCATTTCAAATCTCAATCGACTGGTTGGCAACATAAACAAGCCGATCAGTGGCGAAGAGGATAAAAGTAATAAATATTCAACTGAACAGTAAAACGAGTGTTGAGCGTGTGTACCATTACTTAAACACTATAAACTAGACATTTGTACTGGAGTAAGACAACCAGAGGAAGTGTTTTGGTCCTATCGTTGAGATATAAAGTTTTGTAAGTGAATTTTGTTAATATTGTACTAGAGAGTTCCACACACACAAGAACACAGTGGTTGCGAAGACGGTGTGCTGGGACGGCTTGAGGCTGGTCGTCTGTGTGCGTATTGACTGACATACACAAAACACTTATGTTGTAGCGCCAGATAAGAAGGTAGATGAGTTTTTGAGTAGATCACTTGGTGATGTGTCCGGGCTCTATACCGCCACAACCACAAGGACGGTGACGCGAGGTACTGACGGTCCCAGATGGGGTTGATGCCAGATGGCGTTGACTTAAAATGACTTTGACGTTCAGTGATAATACCGATTGATACCAGATACTAACTGCAAGGAATGATACTTGTGAGTGATGCCGGTTGTTGAGAATATCAGTTGATGGTTATGTGAGGCACTGGAGGGCAGCTTATACCCCCCCGAGCTCATAGTAAACAATGACTGTGGCCATTGTCATCGTCCTGTTAACATAGATGACACAACACCGCCCTGCACTCCTCGTTAACTAGCCACTGCGAGGGTGTTGATAGGTTGTTGGCGTGAGAGAGTCAGACTAACTGTCGACGTGGAAGAGTGGGTGTCGAATTCTCATTGCTGGTGTGGTTAGCATTTAAGATGTCACTGCAGGTTGAAGACGCTGTTGTCACTCTTAGCTTGAATTAAGACAACAGAGTCAAAAGCTGTACACGAAAAAGTTATGATTAGAGATTACAAACTGCCAATTAAACATGGTCATTATAAACATAATAGTATACAGTTTATTGCGTGTAAAGAGCAGTCTTATCTGTGTGCGGGAGCTTCATAAATGTAATAGTTTGGAATCCTTTACACAATCATGAGAGAGTATACAGTACCTTTATAGAAAATATAATTGGAACGCTTTATTTTTTTCTAAAGATGAAACTATCCAATATGGCCACGAAGTTCCTTTTTACCACCAAATTATATCGTTCGTATGTTTTTTTCTTTTGGTTGTACTGTACATTGTTTGTATTCCTGCACTGTGTATGAACATACCCAACCTATGTGAATTTGTATGGTGATTTTGTTTTTTTTTGTCCAGCCATCCATCTATCTATTTTTCTTGAGTCTCTACACATTAATAATCTAGTCACTCGTGTGTGTGTTGTGGAGTGTTCAGGCAACCTTGTCCCGTACTAACACAAGGTTTGGTGGAAAGCTTATATATTAATTCTTCCCATCCGCTGACCCCTTCCTTCATCTGAGGCACTTTCAGAGTAACCCTCCAGCTTATTTAACCTGAATATTGACCACCATCCCAGTTTATATCACCTAAATATTCACCACCCCAGCTTATTTCACCTAAATATTAACCACCCCAGCATATTTAACCTGAATATTAACCACCCCAGTTTATTTCTCCTGATTATTGACACCAGTTTATTTCACCTTAAGCTTAATTACCCTGATATAACTTAGCCTAACTTAATCTAACATCACCTAACTTAACCTAACCTATCCTTATCTAAGCTCACCTACCCTAACTTAACAATAAC